ACTCTTTTAATATGCCTGAGGAAGCAGTGGAGGACGGCTCAAGTCCTTGGGCCTCTGCACCCACGTGGGAGATCTGGAAGAAATTCCTGGCTCCTGGCTTTGGCCTGGCCTTGCCTGGTTCTTCTGACCATTAGGGAGTGAACCAGCGGATCAAAGATTTCTCTGTGTGTGTCTTTCTCTAACTCTAACTTTCAAATAAATAAATAAATTTTAAAAAAGAGGATAAAGGGTAATAAAATAATAAAGAAAGAGAAACCAAGATGCAAACCCGGTTCACAAGAAAGCCACATGAACTTGGCAGCTGGCAGAAGGCAGCCTGAATAAGAGGCAAGGAGTGCCAGCCACCTTTCTTTTTTCCCACCCTCAGGGGGCAATCAGTGAGCTAAACTGAACTATTCATTTGCAAAAGATTGGGTGGTAGGGGAAGAACACAGATGAAGGTAAATTAAGCCAGCCCTATTTTCCTCTGCTCTTTTAAAAATTCTTTAGCTAAAAAAAGACTCCAAAGTAATAGCATCAACTGCTAATCTAAAACATTATCTTCTGTCCTGGCCCAACAGCTTGCTTCCTGGGTACTTTGGAATACAGAATGAGGAGCTAGAGAAATGAAAAAAAGACTACTCAGAATTGGAAGGTCTAGATTCTAGAGATGGCATAAACTCCAAGATGATACAGTCCAGGGCTCTGGACAGTCTTGGTTAAGTAGGAGTCCCACTTCAGATACGAGGCATCTTCCCTTAATTTCACAGGGACAAATTCTTTCTAGAAGGCAGTAGCTCCAACCACAAACATACCCAACTAGAAAATTCTGAGAATCCCTCTTATCTCTGATCGCATACATGCCAATTCTACCTTATCTTGGGATGCAATGGTAATTGCTAAGCTATCACCAACACAGGTAGGCATAGCACCTTAGTCTGATAAGGTAAAACTCTAGGATAAAAATTGTGGCATAGGCAAATTCATGGAAGGCTAAGAGGGAGCTGGACTGTTTGGGTTCAAATCCCATCCATACCACTTGATAAATAAACAACATACTTTATTTTCTTAAGCATTAATTTCCTCAGCAATAAAGTGAAAATATCATGCACAGTTGTGAGGCTCACATGAAAGCCTTGCAAACACTTAGCATATTGCCCAACAGAGACTAACTGCTCAATGAATGTTAGCTAACAGCCACACTGTGCAATTTTCTTTAGCTTTTTTATAGATGTCTTCTCTTAAATATTCTCAGCGTCACATTCTTATTCTACCATGCAAAACTTGAGCAATGACTGTAAACTTGACTAATAGTGGTTTTGCTTCTACAAAAACAAAAAGCACTCATATAATTCTATTTGATTAAAAACAACAATCATCATTGCTACCACTAATGCTATTACTACTACACCATCTGGCTTGCTGTACATCTCAATTTTTTTTATCTTTTCCTATCATTCTTCACTTTAAGATTGCATTTTCTCATCTATTAACTAGGACTTTTCCTACCTTGGTAAAAATATACAGTATCGTTCAAATTCAATCTCTAGCACTATTTGGTTCTGTGAGTCATCTGAACTTCTATGAAACTCAGTTTACTCACATGTAAAATTACAATAACAAGACTGTCTTACACAGGGATATCCAGAGGATTAAATAAACTAACACTCATAAAGTGCCTACACATGATAAATCCTTAATAAGCATGAGTTATTTCACCATTTCTCAATATTATACAATGGATTTTTTTATTTGGGGCAGTACCAAATTCTCTCCCTGTGCAAAAAGGTAAAAAGGTGGAGAAAATCATGTCTGTCAAATAGCCTGTGTGAAAACCTAAATATACCAAGAGTTAAGAGTACTACACAAAAAGGCTTATTTCTGCAAGACTCATTATTCTGAACACAATCACGATAATAATAGTACAATTTAAAGTCCTCCATCCAGATACTCAACTGCTAGTGCTGCAGGGGATTTTTTTTTTTAAAGAATATCTGGGGACTAACACAGTGTTGTAGTGGGTAAGGTCACTGCCTGCAGTGCCGGCACCCCACATGGGCACTGGTTTGAGTCCTGGCTACTCCACTTCTGAGCCAGCTCTCTGCTAAGGCCTAGGATAGCAGCAGCAGATGGTCCAAGTCCTTGTGCCCTGCATCTGCGTGGGAGACCTAAAAGAAGCTCTTGGCTCCAGATCAATCCAGCTATTGCCACCATCTGAGGAATAAACCAGCATATAGAAGATACCTCTCTTTCTCTCTCTCTGCCTCTATGTAACTCTGCCTTTCAAATAAATAAATCTGTAATAAATAAATAAATAAATAATTTTGGGAAACTTTGTAGTGGGTTCCACCAGGCATAGTTGACTTTTTTTTGTTTGACAGGTAGAGTTTTAGACAGTGAGAGAGGCAGAAAAGTCTTCCAAATCTGAGCCCCATTTATCTGTTGTCATTTTTGCTTGCAGCTACATGAAGCAAGGAGTCTGTATTTATTCTTCCCTCTTCCAACTCCCATGATGAACAACAGAAAGAGGAATAAAGATGAAGATACAACTCACAAAACCCAGGAGAGGCTATCTTTGTGAGGATTGCTATCTCCATCAAGATACAGAAAACAAACTGGCAGCAGAAGAGGCCATGCATGTGATGCTTCTAACTTACATCCCAATAGTTCCAATGAAGAAAGAGGCAAGCTGAGTCTATCATGCCTGGAATGTTCCTTACTGGAAAACAATTTGTTGAGTGGGTAAAGGAGCCTTTTTCTGACTCAGCTTTATGAGAGCTTTGATTCTTTTTTTAGGTGTATACCTCATCAATTGAGTAGGAAATACAAAGGCAGCAGCAGTGTGAGCTGGCAAGGGGCTTGCCTGATTGGGTTACTTCAGTGAGAAGTATGCATAGAAGACTTGAGAAGAAGCTCAGCCTCTTTGAACAGATAACTATGCCCAACTATCACCATCTTAACTCTCTGCTCATCTCTATGATCCCTCTAATGGAAAGCATACAGTATCTAGATGGGATAAACCATGACATCATGGGAAGACAACAAGAAATGGAAACCAGGGGATTCCAATTCATTCCCATCAAGGTGGCATGTACCAATGCCATCTCACTAGTCAAAGTGATCAGTTTCAGTTCACAATTGATCATAATGATAGGATTAAGTGTCAAAGGGATCACATAAATAAGACTAGTGTCTGATAGAATTAAAAAGCAGAGAACAATCCAACATGGGAAGCGGGATACACAGCAGACTCATAGAATGACAGATGTCCTAAACAGCACTCTGGCCTCAGAATCAGCCCTTAAGGCATTCGGATCCCATGAGAGTATTTCAGGCATGGAAAGCCAAGACACTGTGGCAAAAACAAACAAACAAACAAACAAACACCTAAATGGAAGATCTCTGTGAGTGAAATCCCACTGGAAAGAATGGGCCATCAAAGAAGGAGGGACCTTTCTCTGAAGGGAGGAGAGAACTTCCACTTTGACTATGGCCCTGTCTAAATAAGATGAGAGTTGGCGAACTCAAGAGGCTTCCATAGCCTTGGCAACTCATGACAAGAGCCTAGGGTGATTACTGACATCATAAATAAGAGTGCCAATTGTTAAATCAACAACAGGAGTCACTGTGCACTTACTCCCCATGTAGGATCTCTGTCCTTAATGTGTTGGACTATGTGAATTAACGGTATAACTAGTACTCAAACAGTACTTTATACTTTGTGTTTCTGTGTGGGTGCAAAGTGTTGAAATCTTTACTTAGTATGTACTAAATTTATACTAAATTGATCTTCTGTATATAAAGATAATTGAAAATGAATCTTGATGAAGAATGGGATGGGAGAGGGAGTGGGAGATGGGATGGTTGCAGGTAGGAGGGATGTTATGGGGGGGGGGCGCTATAATCCAAAAGTTGCACTTTGGAAATTTATATTTATTAAATAAAAGTTAAAAAAAAGAAATGGAAATAGAACATCTGAGTTCTAGCTCCATTCTGCTTCTGACATTTTTATATGATCACATCCATATCTGCCACACTCCATGGGTTCTGGAGGCTGCTCTTTGGTCAGGCAACTATTTATCTCTAAGTCTCAGTGTCCTCATCAAGTAGACATCTGCTAAGAGTATTCATCTGAAAGATTCTTCTCACTCTTCTCTCTATACTATCTAAAGAACTCAGCACACTGTTGAGTACACAGTGTGTTTCCATAGAGTTCAGCAGTTAATATGGCTGCTTACAAAGCAAGTTGGCTGAATCAAACCTAAGGTACCTTATAGGTTTTTATCCTAAACTTCAGTGAGGTTAAGGAGAGAGGGCTCTGAGCATGCTAAGAACTCTAGGCTTAGAATTTAAAGAGCAAAGTTTTCCATGGCATCTATAATCTATAACCAATGCAGATTATTGCCAGGGAAGTAAACTAGCAAGTTAAAATAATGATCACAATGCTTGGAAACAATCACACAGAGAACAGTGTCATTTTCCATTGAGATCTCTGAGATCTGTAGATCCCTAGTGTTTGGAAAAAGCCCTGGGTTCTTCTAGGTTCCCCTAGCAAATCACTCACTTTCTAATGAAGAGTCAATGAGTAAGTAAAAAATCACGTATATCCTAGACTATTACCATCACTTGAACAGTGGTTCCCCGAATAGTGAGATACAGTAGACCTTGTCTACAAAATATTTACAGATGACAACTCTGCTAAAGCTTGAGTGGACTTTTCCTAGCTATCTTGTGAATTTGTGTCTTATTTCCAACTCCCCACATACAACAGAAGCTCCACAACACAGCAAGCCCAAGAGCACGAGTCACAAAAATGCTCTCCCAGTGCTTATGAGCAAGAGAATAAAAGTCACTCCAACAGAAACCAGTCCATCTTTCCCAGTTCCCCAAGTTTTGCAGACTGGAGCTGGCCCATCCAGGAATGCACCACTAAGTTCTACACATTCTATTAGAAATTCAAGTATAGACACTATCTTCAACTAGACCAAGTTATTAGATATTAATGTTCAGACAACACCTACCTCACTCCAGACCAGCATGGTACCGAATATGACCTGTAACCCATCAAAGAAATTGTCCCCTATGATGATCACAGTTGCGCCTCCCGTCGTCCATCCTTCACTCGGGCTGATGGCTTTGATACAGGGAGTAGCTGCTTTTCAACACACATGAAAAAGAGAAGGAGTCTGCTGTTAGAACCAAACTTTAATGATGGGCGACTTGAGAAAAAGAAAAAAAAATCTTTTATCTTTTCACTAACAGAAAGTCCCTCAAGATCTCAGCATTTCCCAGCCACATTAGGACCTGAAGCCCAAGGGTGCAACTTCAGTTTTTAAAAACATTCTTTTCATTGTTTCTATGAAGGCACATAATATTTTTCCCAAATCTTTTTCCCACCCTGAAATCTGATAAAGTAAAACACAGACATAAAGCTTAATTTATAAAATACTAAAGATGTTTTTAATGGGTGACTTTTTGGAATGGCCTGGAAACCTTACGGAATTGCTTCATCATTAAGTACATCTCCTGAAAAGAAAATGTATGTGTTTTTAGGTAAACATTTCTGCCCAATGGTAAGCTAAGAAAGAGAAAGGCTGGAGTAGGGAATGGTTATTGCTCCACACCTTCTGTCTGTAACACGAAAATAGCAACGTTCATCATTAAAAATAACTAATATATTTTTTTTTCAAATAAAAGCCATGGATCCCATTTTATAGATGCAAAACTTGCAGGTCACTCAGGGTGAATTATGAAACTAAATGGGTGAGTCAAGGCTGAACCACAAAGACTCCTCATGACCTTTGCTTTGTTGTCTTTCCCAGGCATCAAACCCTAGATTTAACTTTTTAAAAATTTCATATATTTTCTATTTCCATTATAAATGGCCCTTGGAGATGGGAAATAATTTTCAAATATTGTGCTTCCAAACAGACTGGAGGTGGTTTGCCTAATGAGCATGGCATATTTTCAACAGAATTGCTAGGCATAAATGTAATTGTTGGATTATGTTTTTGCAATCTCTCTGAAGGGACCTTCACATCACTGAGGATTTTTAACTCTGCAATGCCATGCTGCTGTTCTCATGATTACTTTTATAAAAGAAAAATTTCAGAGCAAGGGAGATGTTGTGCAAGGAGAGAAAATGGGACCCTCCTCTTTAATAAAAGGTTTATGAAGCACCCACAACAGGCTTTCCCAGTCTTGAAACCAATGAGAGCACCAGTTAATCTTAATAGGGGAATAAAACTGGCAAAAAAATTATTGGACTTTGTAAAATTTGGCAAGATCTCATGCTTTAACTTTTGCAAGAAGGAAAGAAACCATTAAGCCTCGCCTGGTGGGGTCATTGCTCACGTGCTACCACACAAACAAATAGAACAGCATGGATTTTGATTCAAATTAATCTTTAAAAACTACAGAGAAATTTGAAAATACCCCCAACTAAACATTTCACGTTGGCTGAACTCACAGCAATGCATTTGCATCTAAAACTGGGCAGTTCTGTGACTTTTCTACCACTTTCTCCCCAAAACAAAATCGTTCATCAAGAAAATATAATGACTCATGACTTGACTTTCAAATTCTTCCAATTTTTAATATACACAGTGGTTGTAATCAGTCTTCCACAGACACAGGACTTCTTAAACAAAAATTATCATTAAAAGTAAAGATGTTTAAATGCATGGTTAAGTACTCCTGAACCAATGATGGAATATGATACAGAATTTCAAGCAACTTATAATAAAGTACTTTAGCAACTATGTAAAATTCTGTACATAAGCAGTTTGCAATCATTTTGTTCATGTTTTTAGTCTTAGTTTTTCATTTATAACTTACTATATCTAGTTGCTAGAGTGAAGTCACAAGGTGTTCTAACATTCCTGGATACATCTGACAGCTACTGGATGTTGGTTTGAGAGACTTGATCTTGAGAATCCTGCCTGATGGCAGTGTGTGAAATCCAATGCTGCTATTCACTGTTGACTCTATGATTACTCACACCGAATACAACTCTGTTAACTCTTCTAGTTTTAATCCTACAAGCATACCTCTTAAGATAAATATAGTCTCCTCCAGGCTTCTTACTATTGCACAAAAGGGGAGTGTGTTTACATATCCTTGAGTACTTATCAGTGTGGTCAAGCCCTGCAGGGTGAAACTTGTTCCCCTCCATCTTTTTCCAATTTGTAGGATATGGGAGGCACATATTGGGGTGGGGAGTGTTTCCTTCTCCCTCTACATTCTGTATCATCCACTTTCCCTGCTTAGAGACTATGTGCCTTCTCAAGACAAGTTAGTCATGCAGCCCTTTTCAAGTGTGGAGCTCAAAGCGTTCTAAAGAAGCTTCTCAACATCTGCTGTGACATATCAGTCTCCAGAGGAAGCTCTGCAGTACCTCCCCACTGACATGTTTGGAAAATACGGAAAAGATTCATGGGTTTTTCAACTAAGAGACGGGGTGGGTGCTACTGGCATTTAATAACTGGGAGGTCAAAGATGATAACTAACAAACAGTGCATAGGATAGACCCCAGAAAGGAGGAATTTCAAAGTGCCAGAAATACAAGGTGGAAAACATTGTGACTAACCAAACAGAATTACACCTAAGAGAAGTTGTTAGGAAGTCACAGCCCCGCACAGGCCAAGGCAAGAAACCCAAAGAGACTAGCAGCTCAAGGATGACTGAAGTGAGTGGACGCTGGCATTCAGCACTAGCCGGGGGCTAGGGGGTAAGGAGGGGAGTGATGGAAATGGAGAGGACCCTGGTGCACTGCACAAGCTGTGCTTAACCCAGCAGCTGCTGCTCAGCTCCAGCCTTTGGTAATCCCACCAACGTAGGTCCAGTGCGGTCTGGCTTCTGATCTTTCAGAAGAAGCCAGGAAACCAGGTTTTTATATGAAATTTCCCAATCTTTAAATGTTGGCAACTAATTCAATATTTTTGTAAAAATATGTAGGCCAAACAAAATGTTTATGGGCTGGCTTTAACTCACAGGTCAACATTTTGCACTTTTACCCTAGTCACAAACAACCTGCCAGACTAAAAACAGACCAAGAAATATTTACCACTGTGGCCAAAATTACAGGTACTCAAATGTTCAAATGCTTCTGCAATATTGACAGTAAGAAGTGAAGTGTCTAGATGCCCCCAATAAGAGAGTGGTTAAATAAATTATAGTAAATCTAGATTGTAGAATGTAAGATGTGTTTCATTATAATAAGTGAAAAAACGTCTACAAATTGACATGGAAAGATAGCAAAAGTAAAGAAAGCAATTGACAGATTAATTAATAGTATGACCTTTTTTTCCCAAAAATGATATATGAGTCTGTGTGTGTGTTGTGTGTGTGTGTGTGCACGTGTATGAGGGCATTTGTGAACAAATATGACACACAGGATGTGCATGAACTGTCCCCAGTGGGTCCTTATGAAAAGAAATGAGATTGACAGAAAAGGCAGACTATTAAATGTTACTCTGTAGACATCTATATGGCTTCAATTTTTAAAATTAGCATATATTAAGGTAATAAGTTAAATAAAAAAATCAAATACCAGAACATTTAATTTGATGAGAAATAAAAATTGTACTTTTTAGAGCAAATTGATACTACAAAACAAAGGCAAGACAGGTATACTTACTAACAGACTCTGAACCTTCCCTCCCTTCTTCTTTTCTCCAAATAAGCTCAGAAAATACCCAAAAGCAGCCAGGGGCTTGCTTTTCTCTCATTCAGGATACCCAGAGAGAAGCAGAGAGAAGACAGAGGACTACCATTTTTTTAGTAGTCACAGTAGATGAATTCAGTGGAATTTAAGATTAAAAAGATTTATTAAAGAGTTGGATTCAGTCTGGGAATGGAATAATCAAGATAATTCTATCTCCAAGAAAATATTATGGAAAGGGGAATAAAGAGGTAGTTTTTGAATACACAACCACTGGTACCAGAAAATTCCTGACTTAATTAATCAAAAGCTTCTTTCTTCCCAGTGAGCTGTCATGCTCTATCCACAAGGACATCAAGCCAATTCCTGTTTCTAAGTCTCCTTAAAAATAAAAGTTTGGGTGCATTCCCCCCTACCCTCTCCCCACCCCACACACACCTCATTTCTTTAATTCCTCACCCCACCCTTCACCAGCCACCAAAATAGAGGAGATTTTCTTTCCTTCAAACTATGACAATAACATGATTACCCTACCACAGTTTAGCATAATGGCTCTGAAATGCTCGTGGCACATTGCAGAGTTAAAGTGGAAATTATTAGGTAGCTCTTCTTTGTTATAATAATGATCACTCTACAAATAAAAGCTCTTCTCCCAAAGGTACTGCAAGGCACAAAATGCTAATTCTGAAGATTATGTGTGCGCTTTTATTAAATATTACTATGCCCTGCCTGTTTGAGGGCTTCTCTGCTCTGATTGTTTTATGAGTACCATGTTAATGTCATTCCCATCTTGCTAGCAGCAGGCACACATTTTAGCGTTTGTATGAGAGTTGATCAAAGGCCACGTGCTGGGGGAATTGCTGAGAAAACACGGACAAGCGATAAAAATCTAACAGATTAATTGGTTTAAATTTCATTTCAGGGTGTTGAACTTTGGCTCGGGACTTTAATGCTACACCGTGAGTCAGGGCCTAATTACCAGATTTCCAATTTGCTTCTGAACAATGGTCGTGGTGAGAAGGAAGAGGGAGGGAAGAACAAAAAAAAAAAAAAAATCACTCAGCTCCCAGTACGTATTTAACCAGGAATGTTCTGTGTGCAGACAATTGCACCAGGGGACGTGTGCGCTCACCTGCCTAAGCTCCAGAGCATTTCTGTCTCCTTCAAATAGCCACAGAAAGCATGGGAAACCACAGATGCCCTCAGCAGTTTAAAATTTTCTGATTTACAGAATCAATGTTAGGTGATTCGAGTGCCTGCACACTCGCACTGGAAGCATCAGGCTCTTTATTAGCAAGGGGAATTTATAAGCTGGAGTCGCACCTCAGCCTCCAATAGAAATGATCTATTTCATTGATAGAAAGCAAGGGCCAGGAGAGCCATGTTTACCTCGGGGTTTATGGGTGGCCTTGGGAATAAGGGTTAATTGAGCTCAGAGGTGCCTGCCCATTGAGGTGCATTAGTGGTGTGTGCAGCTATCAGCAGGGTCCTAG